GGTTTAGCCCCCTTCGGGTCGTTAGAGGAGCTGTTTATGTACCACTTTCAGGAATCAATGAATCCTATTGCTCGACCGTGTTTGAGTTATTGGTAGAGCACGTCGCTGAACTCATCAAGGCCCTCTTTAATCGGCAAGCTCTTCGGGCTTTTGAAACCACATTAGCCCATTCTACGCGACTTGGAGCCGCGAAATTGGTGCAGGCTCGGCTATTGGGGGCCTGTCTATATTGTAAGTTAAAGAGACTCTGTCTTTCAGCGAATAGTGAACTGTTCGTTCAAGTGCGCAGTGAAAGTGCGGTGAGACTGGACACATAACATAACACAAACACGTGACTATTGGTACGGATTTCCACTTAGTCTTGTTCGCTGCAAATGCTGGGGCGTGTCAGGGGTGCTGAGTTTGGCGCGGCGCCAGTCCGTTTTTCACTAATTGTAGAAGTGAGGAAACGACCACAACTGGTGGGGAACATTCTGGTGGCGTGCCGAACCAAGCAGTCCCTGACACGCCCCTGCATCCGCAGCGAACATGGCTGCAGCTACGACGAACTATGCACGAAGCAACTTGACCGCTAGGAGCCACCGGAAACAACAACATTAGATCAGGTAGAAGTTCGCTCAGAAGAGAGGGGAGGGGAGAGTTATATCGTGAATTCCCTTGAACGTACTGGGCAAATATTCAAAATCCTGTAAATGCCTGTGAAGTCAACTCTGTTAGGACGAAACTCAGTAGTGGAAAGCGCGAAGAAACGATTCAGGTGGTGAGGAATTTCGTCCAGGCCAGAAGGACGAGGACTGAGGGAATGAGGACTAATCATAACAGAAAGGAGCCCAAGTGTGGGTGATTCTTGATAAGCAAGAAATGGGTCTTGTGGATCACCTGCCCTAGACCCTCCTTACATTGTAAATGAAAGCTTTCCTTGCATTTCCGCTCATTTCCGAATATTTTTCAACCTTTCAGAGGCGAATTTGTGCCATTCTCTAGGTTCACAGGAGTTTGCAGAAGCTGAGAAAATAGCACAGTTTCTTGACAGGAGTTTACAAACTCTCTCCCTCTCCCCACCCACTCCCTGAGCGGATTGCACTTTAATTCACGATTCAGCGTCTAGTGCTTTTCCGTGCACACGCATACGTGCACTATTTTAGACGTGATTACTGCACATACCCCTCCTGATTTCGACCAAAACTCCGCACACTTTTCGTGTCCGCGTATCGACCACGTTGTCTGTTCAGTGACGGATGCCGTCGTACTGTCGTGTACCGTTGAGCTGATCGACCGGATTGCACTGAAAATTTAGCTTTTACAGCAATTCACTCTGAAAGCAATCGATATATCGATCAGACCTCGCCGGACGTTATTTACAGCTGCGTTAGGATGGTAGCGGAACGATAACGCTGCACGACGAATTCGCCGACGTTTTTGTTGCCAACGGCAGTGACAGTATCATCAACAGACTTTGAAGTAGATATAGGTGAATATCTGAACGTCAATTTTTCGCAAACTTCGAACGTTCATCTCTGTGAGTTCGCCGTGTTACTTGTAAACTGTACCTGCGCCAATGTTTCAGCGATATTCGCCAAACACAGGAGCATCAGCGGGATGCCGACCATCGGCCCATAGAAGTAGTTGGTCATTAGCCCGAAAGCCGTGTCGTGTTTCGGGCAAATCATGACCATGATCCTAGGAACACCAAAAAGTAAAATGTAGCCCAAACAGTCGCAGTGCTGTGGTCAAGATGGGACGGACTTCAGTTACTAATCGGACGGTGATGAAAATCATGGTCAACAGGGCGAATGCGAAAAAACGTAGGAAAGTCACCTGAGATGTCCTGTACAGAACCCCAGGCCGAACGGAGCTTGTACGATCATACGTGATAGAGAGAACGTGCTTGGACGGGATCTCACTTGTTGGTATCATTATCGGCCCTTATCCCTTACACCTCGCTCTCTCTCTCACACACTCGGAGCGGAGTGTAATAGTAGCGGAATAGTCGCTCCACCAGGAGGCCTTTAGACATAAATGTTGGGTGTCTGGTAGCGAGGTATGGAGCGAAAAGGCCGTGGCAGTCTGATCTTCGTTCACGGGTGCGTAGCAGCGCTTAGTGCTTTTTTTGCATACTAATTTAGATGGGATAGAAAACGCCGTGATCAAATAAAAGCAATGCTCCAGAGAACGTCCATGACTACGGCTTGGCCGAATGATCGTCATCGTTTCCGTCCGTAACCTACAATTAATTACATACATTACTACTCGTTAGAATCTAAGTGTTGAAGATACATTACCAGAATCCTAGTGGGTGGAGACAGAGAACCACTATATCGTCCTCACTGTTGTGCTTCTCTCTGAACGGCGGTAAAGAGAAATTACGCGCAACTGAAAATAAGTCTCCCTGTGTGTCTCTCTGTCTCCACCCATACGACCAGTGCGCAATGTCAGTTGAAGAATTACTCGAGGGTAGTTGCATACCTTCGAAATTGACAGCCTCGACCAGTAACTTTTCATAGTGCTTCAGAAGTCGATGGGCTCGGGACTTTACTTCAGCCTCTTCAATTACTGTGCTGTTATTGATGAAATCGTACAGCTCATGTACAACCTGAAATCGCTCCAACAATCAAAGAAAATGCTAGTGAGAAATCAATATGTTGTAGTATCTCCATAAAAATGTAGGCCGATTCGCCTATATTTACACGGGTTTTATAAAAAAAGGCAATTCAGATCACAATCGTCGTTAGTAACAGGACACTACCTGACATTAGGGAGAATTTTTACGAGTTGCGACACCCCCCCCCTCTCCTTCTGCTCTGGTACGACCCCTTCCAACCATCTTACCGACTTTTTTCCCCAATCCTTTCTCTCCCTTTTCAGAAAAACTTTCCAGCTATCAAAAAAGAACTGCCGTCGTGTGACGGGGGGGGGGGGGGGGAGGGGGGAAGAAGTTTACCACCAAAGAACAAGTGATTTCAGCTGTCATAAGTAGTAGTGAAACAGGAAAAATCAACAATCCAAAAAATCCTCGGGCCAAACACGACCCCTCTCCCTAAACTGGTTAAATGTGATCCCCATCCCCTCCTTGGGATTTCTCCAGCATACGACGTGTTCATTTTGTGTTAGCAAATGTCAACGAAAACCATAAAACAGATGGAAATATAAGAACATCGGTGTAAAGACAATAAGTAAAGAATATCATGAACAACCAAGCAACACAGATACAGAAGACAACAATTTAGCTCACTTCACTCGTACTTTGGGGATCCTCAACGAGGAAAAAGCCGTTCTGGGTCGCTGAGGGGGGGCGCTGGTCAGGTCGCACTTGCTTTCGTGAAAAGTGTCACCCCCCACGCAACCCCAACGGCAGGTTTTTGAGGAACAAGCGGACTAATTGTGGAAAAGAACCCCGGAACCACGGAAATGTTGAAAGAAGTGAGGAACAGGAAGATGGTCAATGGAATCAGCAAAATGCTCCCACCAAGTCGAATTAAGCTATAATATACTTGACGAATACAATATATTGGAACAAACAGTGGTAATAACCTTAGAAATGGGCATTCAAAAGACTATTTTGTACAAAACGAGAAAAATCGTAGTAGAGATGAGGATTTAGCGTGTCCACAGGAAAACGGATAGACAAGGAATCCCATACAAGCCCCCTCCCACTAAGTTATTAGCGCCAAAAAATACAAGTGTGTTACCAATGTTTTGAAAATATTCTAATAAATAAATTACGGATTAATGAAAAAAATTTACGTTACTAAGAGCAAAGATCCAAGTTGGAAAACATTAAAATTCAGCTCACTCACATTCCAAGTGTCGTTCTTGATGTGTCCCTGGAATTCCATTTCCTTGGGGTATTCGATCGCTTGAAACATGAACGCGCCGACCACCGCATACACGGCCACCATAAAGCACAGCCCGACATGAGTAATGATGAATGCGGTCGACTGCAACGCACAAGAGTTACTTCCGTCAGACAAAATGAAAGATCAATTCAGACAAAAATGAGAAAAATGAGGTTCACATCAAAACTCTGAAACTTTTGTTCCAACCTATATAGTACTAGATTTGTCAGACGCCGTTTGGCTCAATAGGGGCATTTCTCTTCTGGTTCCTGACACCTCTTAACATGAACAGAACTGTAGACTCTTGTCTAGTGTAAATGAAGCTGGTGCTATTGCAACGCTCCACAGGGGTGCACAGGTCTTCACAGAAGGCATCAACAGAGATCGATGGAGCCAGTAATATACCCCCATCAAGCCGAACTGCGCCGATTTCCCATTACGGCATTTTAGTAAAACCATGTACGGCATAGTTTCAGGGTGTAGCATTGATATGGGTGGAGTAGCGGTGTCAATACGACCCCTAAAAAAACGTCTCGGTACGGTACCCTATCACAGCCTACGTACAGTCTTCTGCGGACGCTGAGGCGAGTTTGACGTGCAACCAGCCTATACTCCACTGTGTTCGCTTGCTAGTTTCCACAGCTTGCGTAGAACAGGCTGGCGCCGCGCCAAACTCAGCCCGC